AGTTGTGCGTGGTAGTATTTGCGTACTGGCAGTTTAGGCCATATCTGTTGGGGAGTGAGTGTCTTGTGCATATTGACCATTTTGCACTGAATTTTTTATTTAACTTAAAGGAGCCAAATGGACAGATGGCACGGTCAGTGCAGGTGTAATGATAGTATGACATCTGCTAGTGGGTAAAAGAAGCACGGATACAGGCACCACTATAAACATCATCCAATCCCAAAGGGAGAGGTATCTGGGCCAAAGGTAAAGGATGGGGCTGGCCGAGATACTCCGGGAACTGGCGAGAAGGTTCCATGAGAGGGCGTGGCTGGAGGTGGAGCCTAGCCACACCTGCGGCAATATAAGCGGAGGTGGACTCGTGGTCGGTGTGTGGAGTCTGGGTCCGGACTGCGTCGCTTCTCGCCGTCATCTTTCTCCGTCGTTCGGCCATGTGGCAGATCTCCTGCGGAGTTCCACCACCCTTACAGGTACACCGTCAGCCAGCGGCGAGGCCAGGAGTGGACGGGTAGAACCCCGCCGGATGATGAACCGTGTGTGTAGTCTGTAAGGACGTTAACATCTAAAGTGTGTATTCGGAAGAGGAAGAAGATAACGTTGGCCCAGTAAGCCCATTGAGACTAACCCTCTAACTCCTTACGTGGAGATGCACAGCGATGATTTGGGCCGTATAGTCACCAAGCCCACGGTGGTGGCTGCAATTCACCCTGGTGTGAGTGCATGTGGTGAGGCAGGTGACACAGTGGCAGAAGAGGCTCTGGTGGTGGATTACCTGGTCGGCGACATTAATTGCACCTTCCTGAAATTGACTCCAGAAGAGCTGCACCAGAAACAACTCCAGGATCCTGAGCTGGCTATGGTAATTCAGGTGCTGCAGGCGGGGTAAGTAGAGGTTCGTGACAACCCCTATCAATTCCTGTTCCCGAAACTGACACTGGTGGAAGGGGTCACTCGGAAGGTGTCGTCCGAGACCAAGCCGGGTTGGTGCAGTCCGCTCAGAGCTGCTGTGGCTGGCCCACAACCTCCTGTTTGCTGAGCATGATGGCGCACAATAAATGACTGATGTCCTCTGTTGACGCTATCTGTCGCTGCGTCTGGCAGGCGGCATGAAAGCCTGGGTGCTGCGGTGCCCAGAAAATCAGTATAGCAAGAAGCCTGCCTGGTAACCCGTGCATCTATGGTCGCTGTTTGTGTCCAGGTGGACCCAGCGAATCGGGCTGGATCTCAAGGGGGGCAATGTCAACCACAGGGCGTGGCAACAAGTACATCATGGTCGTCATGAAGTCCTTGACCAGATTTTCTGTCGCCATTGCCATGCCGGATAATGCATGGAGACCATGGCTGAGGCCTTCATGTTGGCCTTCTTCTTTCGTATGGCTGATGTAGATGCAGAGCAACAACTGCAGTTTTGCTTGTGTTGTTGCTCTGGAGACCGGGAGATCGATGATTGATGTTCGGTCTCCTCGCACATGGTATTCATCATGATTTCTCACTTAGCAGAGTAAGCCATGTGAAGGCTGCCATCTTCCACACCCATGTTGGCTTACGTTTTGCAGCTTGGCGTGCCGGGGAGGGTGGGGATTATCCAGAGCAGTGAATTTGAATTGGTGCAATTTTGGTCCCTCTACCACCACCTGGACATTGAAAAGATATGGAGCATGGGCTACCATCCTCAAATCCAACAGCCTGTTTGAGCGGTTTATTGGCACTTTGTCTCAGACCCTGCCTCACCTACCTTCCTAGAACCAGCAAGACTAGGACCTGCACCTGTCGTATGCACTGTACGCATATCGGATGAAGCCGCAGACTTCCACCAAGGTAACCCCAATCGAGGCCTTGTACGGGGAGGAGGCCCGCATACTGGATGGCCTGCTATTCAGGCATAGAGGAAATGCAACCACCCAGAGTGGAAGAACCCTTACACGAGTAAGTCGAAACTACCACAGAGGTTTGAGCGGACGCCTGGCAGAAGAGTGAGAGGGCACACCAGGGGCAACAATACAGCAACTGGCCTCGGGTGGCGGCCCCGCACTTCAAGCCTCATTTTATGTGTGGCTCTACAACCTGATTCCCAAGCTGGTCCAGTGTGCAAAGCTCATTCGCCCATGGACATGGCCACTGCAGGTGTAGTATATCTGCTCAACCTGAGCTATGTAAAACTGCTCAACCCGAGTTATTCATACTTTAGTACTTGCATTGCCTTTGTGCTGTTCGCCTTTTGTTGTCTGGTCTAACACAGATGAGACAAGGCCACAAAGAGGGCTGGCTGTCTCTCATGTCGGTCAATCAGTTTTAAAGACAATGTATATTTTATCCGAGCATGTTTGCATGGTTTGCCATCAGTATGTGTGGTTAATGCAAACTTGATGCCTTGCAATAGGTATATATTTGGTGTTTGAACAGATTAACACCTATATTCTTGGTTCTTTCGGTAAAGTCACGTAGAAGGGAAACAATAAAATAATAAAAATAAAATTCTCACGACGTTTCGACTGCAACACAAGCAATCATCATCAGGTGTGAAAACCACAGCAAGAAAATGTTCTTGCTTTACCGAAAGAACCAAGAATATGAATCCCTGCAGTCACGAAAACTTTAAATCAAAGATTAACACCTGTTTTTTTTAATTGCCAGAAAGGATAAAAACCTATTGTTATTTCTTCATCAGCCAATGTCCTTTAACCCATTCGTGCCTGAGTTTGTTCCTCCGATGGAGAGTGAGATGAGGCCAGGAAATTGTCCCCCTCCAGAGCCGGCGGGGTCATGGGCTAAAAAGTAGTAGACGGGTGCCTTGGGTACCCTGACGTTACAACTACGCGACTGTGACTCCAGTGTCTTGGAAACACAGGAGTCAATGGGGGTGGGGGAATCACACCTGCGGGGTTCTGTGGAGTCATGGAAATCAAAGCTCCACCCCATGCTGGTGCAGCTCTGGGTCTCCCTTCCTCCTCCAACTGCCCACCAAGCCCTGCGCCGGGGCTCCCATGGGGGTCAGCCAAGTCACAAGGTAGGGAGAGTGAGTCAGAGGGGGGCCCAAGTTGGATGGCTCCCTCTCATGTAAGGGGGCAGGCCACCATTGGCCGGCTTCCGACTGCACGGCTGGAGAATACCTTGCGATCGGCGGAGGGGATGCTCTTTCCAAGAGACGGAAACTCGGACAAGTGTTGCGTCTCTACCTTTTCCAAGAATTCATTTTTAATGTGATATTATAAATATGAATGTTATGTTTTCTTGTATATCTATATGTGTGTAATGACAGGATGACACCTGCTGGCCTGGGAAGGGATTCACGGGTATGGCCACAGAGGTAACAACCAATCAGGGAAGGAGGTGTATCTGGGACAAAGGTGACAGGTGGGGCTAGCTGAGATACTCCCGGAACCTGCTCGAAGGTTCCACGAGAGGGCGTGGCCGGAGGCGGGGCCTAGCCACGCCTGGGGGGATATAAGGGGGAGCGGACCCGCAGCTCGGGGCTTGTGTGTGGGGTCCTGGGTCCTGGCGTGTCAAAGTTCACCGACATCTCTCTCCATCGTCCGGCCACGTGGAAGATCTCCTGCGTGGGTTCCGTCGTCATCACGCCGCCAGACAGTGGCAGAGACGAGTGAGGGGACCACGCTGAGTGATCGGTTGTGCGTGTAGCCGGTAGAGGTGTTATTGCCTAGAGTATATTCAGTGGGAGGAAGAACCATTGTTGGCCTGGGTTGTGCCCAGTGTGAGTAATAAAGAAGAAGTACCCTCTGTACAACATGTCATGGAAGTCGCTCTTTACATGTGCATTCGTTGCCATTCTGGGGTCTTGAAACAGCGTGCCACATGAAAATGATCATTTTGGCAAAAACGTATAAAATGTAGGACATAGACTTTGATGGCTGGGTGCGTTGAGAATAAAAACACGCAAGAAAAATTGGTGTGAATGGGGAGGGACCAAAGCATTTATGACATGGTGTTATTTAAGCAGGTAGCTTTTTTAGATGCCTCCCGTGTGAGGTCAGAGGCAATTATTTCTGGAGGCAATAAATAAATGTCACCCAGCTGCCCTAACGATGACAATAATAAAAACCCTGCCTCTCCAACATAACTTTTTAAATTCATAATCAAGGCCTTGGTGTTTTGAGAATTAAAATAACTCAAATGTAATGTAATACAACATAGAGAGTCGGCTAACACAATAGTCAACACCCTACCTAGTTGATTACATTCTTCCAAAGATTGCTAAATTTGAGAGAGACAGTGGATCGCTTATGAATTGTTTGCAACCATGCCTGCAGAAATACTCAACCATCATATCGTCGATTGCAACATGCTCAGATATTGACTCTTGAAGAAAGAGTTACTTGTGATTTTGGTATTGTTGACATGGATCGAAGACATATCGTCAGTTTTGCCTAAAATACAGTACGCTGTAGGACAAATGGATTTATCCCAAGTACATTTTGTTTGAAGAAAAGTTATGGTGGATCAAAAAAAGTCATGTAGAGCAACTCGCTGAGAAAAAAAATATTTACATTGTTTTGGGGAAAAGGCTACAATTGACAGGGTAATTATATACATTCACTAGTTAAAACAAACGAAAGCAAGATTTTCTGAATGCATTTACAGGAGCAAAATAAAACAAATCTCAGCAGGGTATGCGCACCGGTCACTATTGTGACCATGTGCAATTGGGATTTGGTTTTGAAAATAGGCTACGAGTTTCATGCTGTTACGGCCTGTCTGATTCTAGATTAGTTATAGGTCGAGTAAATACAAATACATTTGGCATAAAAAGTTACTATAAACTCACACATCCATAAATCATGAAGGTTCGACTCAGGCTAAGCCGTTGACTCCTCATCGAAGCACCTTGGGAAGTGGATGGAATCAGCAGGTCTAACGACTCTTTACTTATGCTGTATTAGTTATAACAAAACAAATGTAGATGTTGGCAAACTTTGTAACCCGGTGGGAACTTCGGTTAAAGCAAAACGTTTCCGGGCCTGGAGGTAAAACCTCTGTAGTTGACACCACTGTACGCACACCGCTGCCCCAACGACCATTGCCCAGGGGCGACGTGTCGAACAGCCGCGAGGTATGGTCTCCGTGTGAAGCTTCTCCTCTGCCTCTCCAGGGCTCATTGCGGCCTCGGTGCATTCGCGGCGCAAACCGCACCCCGGTGTCGAACCGGACGGCGAACAAGTGCAAGGTCGCGGTGCGCGTCCACAGCGTGGACCGTGACGAGTTAAACTCCGCTCGCAGAGTTTGAACTCCGTCGCCTCGATGTCCGCGAGCAAACTCGGGCGGGTGCAAATTGCCCCGTCACCCCTCGCTGCCACTGATAAGATTCATTGGCGTAAAATAAAATACAATGTTTTTGTGCCGGGTGACGCTGCAAAGTGTTAATTAATAACTGTATATTGATTTAGCGTGCTGATCTTAAAGGTGCATTGAACAATTTGATGCTCCGACCGATGCTCCCGTTGTTGTGGAGTAACTCATGCAGCCAGCTATGGCTCTAGGGTTTTGGTGTTACATGTTATGTATGTAGTTTATTGTAAAAATTCGGTCACAGTCCCTGTGATCACTGTTACGTTGCAATTATGGCTTTATTTTTTGGTGATTTCGAAAACGTTTTTTTGGTTTGGACATGTTTGTTTTGTTGTAGTACGGAGTTAGACTGATGGCCTTAATCTTAGTTGTCTTGTGGTTGTTGTTATTGTTATTTGACTTGCATCCCACTGGGATTTTTTTGCACACAGCGTTGGTGTACGGTGCTATTTCAGGAATATTTTGTTGTTTTTTTCATGGATGTTCTGTTTGCACAGTTACATAGTCACTTTAAGATGTTTTTCTTGTTAGTGTTTGTGTTTTTTTGTTTGTTGTGGTTGCACCAGATTCAAGAGCCGAATGGCTCACGGGGCTATACCAAAATAAATAAACTGAAACTAAAACTAACTAAACTCGCGACGCCCGGTGGTAACCCGCGGTTCGCTTGGCCGCGGGACTGACATTCGTTGCGCTGCGTAGGCGAAACGAACTCGCCCTCTTGTTTATTCAGACACAAAGACGCACCAAGATACCAAGATCTCCCCCACCCCTGCCGTACATCACTGGCTGCTGCTGCTGTTGGGGACACGCGCTTGGTTAGCCAGCACACGTGAGAGTCGGCACGCCACACGAGGAGGGAGAGTGGTGGTGGTTGTTGTTGTTGGTCAGAACCTCACTCGGCCACCTTTGTCTCCAGCGCGATGTTGATGTTTTAACACACCGGCACTCAATTGAGGCCGAGTTGATAAAGAAGAAGCAAGATCAGGACCGGTTCACGATATTATTCGTCGCTCCGTGATCGGGAATCGTTGGCAATCGCTATTCCTTTTTCACGCCCGTCACCTTTACATTCGTAAAATTAGCGATTTAGTGAGATTTTGATATATTTTTTATTTTATTTTCTACACGGCATCGACCGTACCAACTAACGCACATTCAGACAGACCCTGCTAAGTGATGCGCGTTCGGTGGGGGTGAGGGGGATATTTTTTACGAGATTACAATGCAATAAATATACACAGAACACTGTGAGTATTTCTTCAGAGTGTGAGATGTTCTCTTCGCCCGCCCCCCCCAACACGATGCGTGCAGTTAATACTACAGAGTCCGTAGATAATAATATAGCGATTTAAAGCTTTCGTGACTGCAAGGATTCATCTTCTTTGGTTCTTTCGGTAAAGTCACCACGTAGAAGGAGAATAAAATAATAAATTGATAAAATAAAATAACACAATAAAATTCTCACGACGTTTCGGCCACAACACAAGCGGCCTTCATCAGGTGAAGGGACGAGACTGTCTGGAGGACAGCACAGATGCCATATTTTCTGTCCGTCTGCTACAGCAGATGTATAGGGAATTCCAACAAGACCTACATCTCTGCTTTATTGACCTGCTCAAGGCCTATGCTACCATCAGTAGGGCTGGGCTCTGGGTCGTTCTGCGTGCTTTTGGAGTCCCTCACCCTATGCTCACAATCATTAAAGACCTTCATGATGGTGAGTGGCCCGTGTAAAACTACATGGCCGGGAGTCGGAGCCATTCCCTGTACACCTTGGGGTGCGACAGGGATTCCTCTGGCTCCCAAATTATTTGACATCATTTTTGACCACGTAGTTCGTAAAGCCTTCAATAGCTGTACCGGAGGAATTTCCATCTGGTACAGATAAAATGGGAGGCTGATCGATGCCCGGGTGCGGTCAAGGGATTGCTGCCTATTGCTCAACCATGTTATGTATGCCGATAATCTGGTAATTGCTGGTCACTCAGAGGAGTAGTTGGATGGCGCTGCTTCTGAACCTGGAGCTTGCCACTAAGAGGTGGGACCTTGCCATCAGCCCCACCAAAACTAAGCACATGCCTGGGTATTTTATACCATCGGACACTCCACCCCCACAACTCCCAATTGGTGATGGGGTGGTTGTGGAGAGAGAGTGGAGAGTTTCCCATACTTGAGCAGTCTGCTCATGACCGGCTCCGGTTTAACAGCAGAGGTCTCACTCTGAATCAGTCGAGTGGCATTATTTTTTCATCGGTTGCGTAACGCTGTGTGGAAGCTACCTGGTCTGTCGCTCCGCACGAAAATTCAGGTCTTCTCAGCCACAGTCATTCCCTCCCTTCTTTACGCTTGCGAAACGTGGACCCCCTTAATGGAACATCTTCGCAGGTTAGAATAATTTAGGCTGGCCTGCCTACGATCCATCCTGGGTTTAACCAGGCTGGATTGTGTGAGGAGCTCACAAATCCTTGAAAGATGTGGACAAAGTCCCATCGGTGAGCTCCTCCAGCAGGCAAGGCTGTGTTGGCTGGGCCATGTAGCCCACATGCCCAGCCACCGCATGCCTAAACAGCTTTTGTTCGGTCGGATCGTGGGGCTAAACGGGTGTGGCACGGGCTACAGAAGAGATGGAGTGATGTCGTACAAGAGAATGTGGAGCTGAGTGGACTTGCCAATGACTGGTATCAGTGGTGTCAAGAGGCTCGTGAAGGACGCTACTAGCCAGTTGGAGGCAGTCCTCCAACAACAAGGAGGGCAGAGGAGCGCCGCTCACAATAGTGAGCGGAGCGCCGGTTGTCTAAAGGATAGCAAGGGCGTTCGACACTTCACGTGGCCTCAAGGTGCACATAGCCTGGCACAAGCGTCGTGGTGACGTCGCCGCCACTTAGTGCCAAATGACGGTTGCTGTATGGTATTGTGTAATATTTTTTACACTTTTAATTATTTTTCTATCTACGTGACTTTACTGAAATACAATGAATGTACATTAATAATGTTTGTGTGCAGATAACTAATTTTTCTATTACTTCTTTCGCTCAACTCATGTACACAGAAACCTGGTATTTTAATAATCACCTTGCAAATATTTACATACTTTCGTTTGTGTGCTCACAACTAATAATTCATTAATAACTTGGTCTGCATTAATATATTTGTTATTGTGTCAAATCACGTTGATAGATACCTACTTTTAAAAGAATCACCTTGCAAATATTACAATCATAATGTTTGTGTGTGGACAACTACTATTTATTTTCTTTGCTTCTTCTGCTAAACTCATCTACATAGAAAGTGTGTGTAAGTCGATGTGTGTGTCTGTCTTTTTCGCCCGGGCAACGCTGGGTACTTACCGCTAGTTCTCTATAAAAGTGTGACGTAGTTTGACTTCTGGTTTTTATGTTTAACATTATAATATAATCTGTACTATAAATAAAAGGTGACCTTAATAAATTTCAATAACAAGTTAATAATGAAAATTAATCATATTTAATTAAGTAGAACGTGTTGTTTATATTCATTTAAAGGTGTGCATGTTTACGTGACGTCACATTTCTCAAACCCCCCCTCCCCGTTACACATCGTCACAAATGTCTGGCCCTCCTCCCCCCCCCCCAGGTGCGTGACGTCATTTATGGACGGCCCCTAAGAACTGATGCTGCAGTGATTTTTTGGTGGTAACTATAATGTCATTCGGATTTTTCCTAGTAGGGAGTGTTTCGTCGAGCCTGTGAGTGTTCAAGAGTGTGAATGAGTAAGATCAAATGTGAGTGGGTATTTGAGTATTTAAATATTTTTTTCATGAATATGTGAAAGTGAGCGAATGGGTGTTTGAGAGTAAAGGAGTGTGCATTTTAAAATGATTGAGTGTGTAAGAGTGAGCGGGTGTACTTAAACGTGAGGACATGATGAGAGGCGGATGAGAACAGGTTGAAGTGATTGTAACGTCGTACTCAGATTGTAAATATGGTGGATTTGCTCTCCAATACACCTGTATGCTGTACTAGTAACGAATTGGCATGTTCTGTTTACGTGACAAACCTTAATAATTAGCTGTGTCGGGTGGTGGCGGGTTTAATGACACTTTTATATTTACGCGATCGAAGCCAAAAAACCTATATTATGGAAGGTTGAAGTGCTTATGCTAAACTGACCTTACTAATGAGAATGAGCACAGCAGTGTGTCTGAAGAAGACGTTTTAAGCAGTGTGTATTACCTGTTATGACATACAGATCATAAACATTGTTAAATAAAATGGACCAAAAGCTGAAAAGTACACAAAGGAGAATGGAACGATGCATGCAATTAAACTGAGAGACACAAAGAGGAAATAAATACACGAATTAGAGAACAAATGAAAGATTGATGCATATTTTGACTTCATAAAAGTCGCTTGGGCAGGACACATGGCAAAAAGGGATGATGGCTGATGTCATAGTGACAGAGGAAGGAATGCACCCGAGAGGTTGTCCACTGCAGAGATTTACCTCGCTCATGTGATCGATGGGTTCCTGTATTGCAGTATCATCATGAGCATTAGCGACATTGTCAGAATTATCAGCAGGCCGATAGATAATGAAAAATAACTGTTAAAAAGTAAAATATAACCTGCCTCATAGAAGTACGGCCATTTGTGTCTGAAACATTTTATAACAAATATAAACCCCTTCCTAAAGCATTATATAAACTAGCTTAAAACAACCATTTGACCCAAACATAAAAAAACGACATCCCAGAGATGGATTGTGTTCTGTGTTGAAAAGTAATTTTAAATTGGTTTTATATCAACGGTTCAGCCTACTAAACCGGCTCACATTCTTGTATGTAGACTGAGGCAACAGAGGTTACACAAAATGCGTTGGTGCGGGTGAACTTCTGATATTTTCGGTTGCCCCTAATGCTAAGGTCATAACTGATAAGGACCGTGTGGGCAACCTTCCCAACCCTGTTTACCTTGCTCTCACACCGTGTGTGTTATGTTTTGCCATTAACCATTGTTTCATGTAAGTTGGATGCAGTTGGTGAATGTTTCTTTGATCAAACTTTGTAGTAAATATTGGTTTGTACATTATACATGAAACACATGCAAATCATGGCATTTCTGAATTACTGACTAAAATAGAAAATCTAATTGTTTTTTTTCATTGTTACATTAAGTTATACTTTTAGGAGTAGCTTATCCAAGTATTTAAAGTCCAAACAACAAGCTTGTATTTTTTCTTATAATATGTTAATTTAACAATCTCAGTCATTTTCATTTAAATATCCCTAATGCAAAGCTCCAATAAGTAATGCCAAAGAACACTTTGTTCCTACATCTACAAGAAACACAGCAGCCACTTGTGGTTCCTTACAGGAACAATTCTGGGTGCACTAACTCAGGAAATGTTGGCAATGTCATGGGCACTGGCTCCAAACATTTTCCTTCCCTTTTCTATCCAAAGTTTAGGGCTGAAGGCAGAACTGGGGCAGCTACGTAGGCTTGTTTCATTTCTGCGCAAGTGGGCCAAGAGGGACTTTAGCAGATGGTGATTAAATGTTTCCTCATTTGGTGGAAGACATCTTAAATACATTGTGTTACCACTGTTGAAGAAATGCGCATGAAGTCCTGATAGGGAAGTGAAATCACACCCACCATTAAAAGCCATTATAGCATTTTGAACTCCCTTGATTAGCTCATCTGTGACTTTACATTGTCCACATCATCTACAACATCATGTTTCTAAAAGGTAAGAAGTATGACTGAACCAATGCTCCAGATAAGATGCACTCCTAGAAGGCCATGCTACTGGTGGGTTATGTATAAAATGCCTTTATCTTTTTTACGTGGATAGACATTTTAGGAGGTGTTATTTTTAAGTCAATATGATTCTTCGCATCCTGCCATGAAATTTGGTGAAATCTTTTTATGGTCACTCGAGTGCTGAATTTGGACAGATACAACGCATATCTTAACTGTGATGTACACTAATTCAAAAGTTTGCCTCTGCAACGTTAATCATGGTTTAAATGTTTAAGGGAAGAGCTGGCGGTTGAGAAATATCTACACAAAAAAGGAAGGGCAAGTTTAATTTAATATTGACACATGATAAGCATGAAAAAAATTGCCTGCCTAAATACGAATTGTAATAGCAAAAGACTGAGAGCACGTTAAATATGGGTGTAATTTCATGTTAGGGCAGCATGTGTTGGTGAGAAGTGTTACCAACGTGTGGCGCTCTGTGGCACACCGTCCTGACAGCTTTTCGGGCGGAAGGCATCTCGCGCTGTGTCCCTCTGGTGCTAGATAACACCCACGTGCGTAGTTCTTACGCACTCGTGCTAATCGCACTGCTATGCTGCATGAAGCTCAATAATTTGATACAAATGCTTCATTTGTATTTATTTGGTGAGCTATTTGATAACGTTTCATAGTGATCGGTTTGGAGGTTTTACATTTTATTACGGTATAAGCTTCATGATCATGTAGTAAATTTAGCAAATGATCTTTATATCATGATTATCATTGCAAATTTTGATGGTTTTAAATATTATTTCTGAACAGTTAATGAAATAACGATAATTATAAATTATTAAAAACAAAGTATACCCATGGAATTATTGTAAAACTTTTCTGAGTATTTTTACAGCATGGTGGTTATATGACATTACTTTCTGACAGCATGCACGTCATAATGTTACATATTTTACAGATAAAAATTGCAAAGACTAATGGAAGGCTTATGTTGAGTGAACTTAGTGGAATAACATTTAAGTCGTCTGTACTTTAAATAAATCAAAGCACAATACAAGATGATAAAACTGTTAAATGGTTAAAAAGTTAAGGAAAACTGATATCACAATAATATCGTGAAACTTTATTGTAAAAACATACCCCAACAACCATAGTTTTCATGAAAATATGGCATGTGTCCTCAGACAGATGGACCAACCAACATATAATCCTCAGGCATAGCAATAAGTAACCCATATTATTGGTTCTTTCGATAAAGTCACGTAGAAGGGAAACAATACAATAATACAAATATTAAACAATACAATTCTCACGACGTTTCGACTGCAACACAAGCAATCATCTTCAGGTGTGAAAACCACAGCAAGAAAATTTGAAAAAAGTGGCAGTTTTTTCTTAACGTTAGCACCACGGAGAGCGATTTGGCAGTTATTCAGATGGACGAGTCCATCTATGTTCGGAAAAGAGGAGGGGGGAGACGAAGATAATAGAATGCGGTCTGAAAGCCACCGTAAGCGTGAACAATCAATTAAAACCCGAAATGGTTTATCAAATCCTTTCAATGATTGCTAAGCCAGAATCCATCTTCTCGGTTGAAATTGTCTCTGTGTTTGTATATGTGGATAGCCTCATTAACGAATCTCATGGTAGCCAGATGGCTTGCAGAGAACCTCTGTCTTGGAGAAGTCAATGTAATGTGAGCCCACTGAATTATAACAGTGATCTGCCACAGCCGAGGTGTTGGTCCTACCGTGTTTTAGGTCTGCTTTGTGTTCACGAATGCGGTCCGAGACTTGTCGTTTGGTTTCTCCAATGTAACTACTACCACAGAGGCAGAAGTTGCAGAAGTTGCTGTACATACTCTACCAGTCCTTACATTTTTTATTTGGAATTGCCTTTATTTTTTTATGAAGTTGAAAGAAATGACTGTAATCGTACAACACATTTGCAGGTAATGTGTTATGTTTTTGTTTTTCAGGTTACGCACTGACGCAGGCCTTCGTTGTCTGCGTGGGCCTCAGTATGGAGACTCCCAGAAAGGACCCTGCGGTGTTTGTGGCCTCTCAGTTGCCCTCAGATGCACGGTTCATGGCGGTGCTTGCCAATGGGTACCTAGGCACCCAGGTGTACGGCCGCTCGCTGCACATGGGCGACGTTTACAACGGGAACGGGACGCAGAGCCACCGTGCGCATATCCCCTCCACGCTCAATGTGCTGCTCTCGAACACAGGCCCAGGGGAGCTCCTGTATGGCCTCAACACCAGGAAAGGTACGTACTGTTGCAGGCACTGATGCCTTGTGACATTTGTGTGTCAAGAACATCCACACTGCCCAGAAGTGTGCGCTTGTCTTCCATGACTATGACCATCAATTTTTCACAATGGTTTTTGATTGTTGTGTATTTTGTGTTTTATTACAGTAGCATTTAGAAGTACAATGAAACGTATAAATGTGTAGTGACTGTGATTGTCACTGTGTGGTGCCGGGCTTACGAAGCCACGGCGGATAATGTGTTGACATTACGTGTAGCCCGCTCACTGGGCATAGGACCAGCCCTAGCGGGGCTTGGGTGAGCGCTGGTCAGCGCGGAGGCACCACATAGAGTGTGCGGTGCAGGCTCCCGGTGAGGGAGCGAGAGGGAGCATCAGCCAGCCAGGGTTACGTTGGGGCATGATACGCCGGTTGACCTGCCGACACGTGACCGGATGATGTTGGAGGGGGGCCACCGGTGGACGGGGGCCGCTGGGCGGTCACGTGGTCTAAAAGAGGGGAGCCTTCGAGAAAGAGCTCGAGAGATCTAGAAGGTGGGCGTGGCAAGGGGCGGAGTCAGCCCCAGCCCAGGCCGATTTAACGGGGGCCTCGTGAGGGGATCGGGGTCCTTTGTGTTACTGGTGATGAAGATCCACATCGGGTAAAAGAAGCCTCTAACCACGCGGTCCGTGACCCAGCTTGTGGTCCGGGCTGGGATAGCGAACCGTGTCTAGTTCTGCCATAGCGTGGCTAGATGAGTATTCAACACCGAAGTGTAGGTTGTGTTATGTTATGTTGATTTATTGAATAAATAGTGTTGCTTCCAAGACGTCTGCGACTCAGTTGGACTCACTACAAATGTATAGAAATATGTAAAATATGCAGTACAATATTTATTTAAGATGCACGCTCTACCCCATTAACCGTCTGATCAGGCATATCATGATTCAACCCCGCTCTGCCCCATCTCTTCTTTACCTACCCCTCAGCAATGCAATGACCTGTGCTATTTTTTGTCTGGTGTTTTTTTAATCTCCAATTTTCTCTCTTGTTTTGCTCGTATGTATTGTCTCCTATTGTTTGTCCTGTTCTTTGTTGCATGTAATTGATTTCCCTAAAGGTAACATCTGTATATAAATGTTTTTTTTAATTGTGCTGTACTAGTGACGAATTGGCATGTTCTGTTTACGTGACAACCCTTACTAGTTGGCTATGTTGGGTGGTGGCAGGTTTTAACGACACATATTTATGTGATCTAACCCAAAAATAACCTCTTATGGATAAATCATTAAGCCGACTTAAATGGTGAAAATTTCTTTTCAACAAAGTTTCTTAAAACAATGTTTACATCCATGTGGAGCAACATGGCATAATGATGGCCATTTTCCTACACAATCTGAATTATTTGCATTCAGAGAATCACGTGGTCTATTGCACAAAAACACAGCCATTCGGCCGCCACGCAATTGTGAAATGTCCCAAAGTGGGAAAGGTAAGGACAGGATTAGGGTGGAGCCAATGATGACAGAAGGTTACCGCAAAACATGTGGCATTTGAGTTCAAGGAAGCTAAGTAGATCAATGATACATCCTTGCACAGGCCGTTGTATAACGTGGGGTATGCAGTGCATTGCTGGAATTCTACGAGCATACTTAATGTGATGATGTCGCACCGGTTGCGCTATTGGAGTAAAATAGTTTAAAAGACCAAAAAAAATCACTTATGATTGAGAATTAATTTTGCTGATTGAACCCATTTAATTCAGCATGAGGTTCATGTTTTATAATATTCACTTGGGCACGAGCTCTCTGCCTCCGCGAAATACTGACATAGCTAGGCTGAGGAGGGAACCTTCCCTCATCTCCGCAGTATGCGCCTATGAGAGGAATGTCAAACATTTGGTCCAAACCACAGATTGCTGGATTTTCAAGGCACTGCAGTACAACTCTAACTGAGTTATGTGTAAGCCAGCATTATTTACCATTTTACAAATAATTTTTCTTTGAAGATAAGAGTTATATGCTATATGGAAACAACTCTCTGGAACTGCTATGCATTCATACAGTGATGGAAAAAAGTATTTGATCCCTTGCTGATTTTGTATGTTTGCCCACTGACAAAGAAATTATCAGTCTATAATTTTAATGGTAGGGTTATTTGAACAGTGAGAGACAATAACAACAAAAAAATCCAGAAAAACGCATGTCAAAAATGTTATAAATTGATTTGCATTTTAATGAGGGAAATAAGTATTTGACCCCGCTGCAAAACATGACTTAGTACTTGGTGGCAAAACCCTTGTTGGCAATCACAGAGGTCACGAATCTTGTAGTTGGCCACCAGGTTTGCACACATCTCAGGAGGGATTTTGTCCCACTCCTCTTTGCAGATCTTCTCCAAGTCTTTAAGGTTTCGAGGCTGACGTTTGGCAACTCAAACCTTCAGCTCCACAGATTTTCTATGGGATTAAGGTCTGGATACTGGCTAGGCCACTCCAGGACCTAAATGTGCTTATTCTTCTTGAGCCACTCCTTTGTTGCCTTGGCCGTGTGTTTTGGGTCATTGCCATGCTGGAATACCCATCGACGACCTATTTTCAATGTCCTGGCTGAGGGAAGGAGGTTCTCACCCAAGATTTGACGGTACATGGCCCCGTCCATCGTCCCTTTGATGCGGTGAAGTTGTCCTGTTCCTTAGCAGAAAAACACCCCTAAAGCATAATGTTTCCACCTCCATGTTTGACGGTGGGGATGGTGTTCTTGGGGTCATAGGCAGCATTCCTCCTCCTCCAAACACGGCGAGTTGAGTTGATGCCAAAAAGCTCCATTTTGGTCTCATCTGACCACAACACTTTCACGCAGTTGTCCTCTGAATCATTCAGATGTTCATTGGCAAACTTCAGACGGGCATGTATATGTGCTTTCTTGAGCAGGGGGACCTTGCGGGTGCTGCAGGATTTAATTCCTTCACGGCGTAGTGTGTTACCAATTGTTTTCTTGGTGACTATGGTCCCAGCTGCCTTGAGATCATTGACAAGATCCTCCCGTGTAGTTCTGGGCTGATTCCTCACCGTTCTCATGATCATTGCAACTCCACGAGGTGAGATCTTGCATGGAGCCCCAGGCCGAGGGAGATTGACAGTTCTTTTGTGTTTCTTCCATTTGCGAATAATCGTACCAACTGTTGTCACCTCTCCAAGCTGATTGGCAATGGTCTTGTAGCCCATTCCAGCCTTGTGTAGGTCTACAATCTTGTCCCTGACATCCTTGGAGAGCTCTTTGGTCTTGGCCATTGTGGAGAATTTGTAATCTGATTGATTGATTGCTTCTGTGGACAGGTGTCTTTTATACAGGTAACAAGCTGAGATTAGTAGCACTGCCTTGAAGAGTGTGCTCCTAATCTCAGCTCGTTACCTGTATAAAAGACACCTGGGAGCCAGAAATCTTTCTGATTGAGAGGTGGTCAAATACTTATTTCCCTCATTAAAATGCAAATCAATTTATAACATTTTTGACATGCGTTTTTCTGGATTTTTTTGTTGTTATTCTGTCTCTCACTATTCAAATAAACCTACCATTAAAATTATATACTGACCATTTCTTTATAATAAAGGTTTTTGGGTTAGATCGCGTTTATTTATAAATGTGTCGTAACCCTCCACCACCCGACACGGCCAATCAGCAAAAAAAAGTGTCACGTTGACAAAAGACAAATAATTCACTACTTCAGCCCACCGGTGTGTTGAAGAGTTAATCCACATTTACAGTTTGAGTACGACGTTTCGCTGGTAAATACTTCCAGCATCATCGGGCAATTTGCCAGAATGGTAAAGCCCTTGCTTGCTCCCGGTTTTATATAGAGCAGCAGGGTGACGTCATCACTTAACTCATCAGGTGCAGTGATTAGAGGCGGAGGGGGGGGTAATGTAATTATATAATCGATTAGTAATCAGTCATTGGTTATGATTAGTAATGAGTTGTAGGTTAGTAATTCTTTAAATCAAAATGTAATGTGTATTATTTAATAATACGCTTCCAGGCCGCACTAAGCCGGTAGCTGTCAGAGCGATTAAAGTTATTCTTGTTCCTCTCAATTTCAATGGATTCTCCAATTAGTCTTTGCCAGTAATAATTAGTTTTACACACCACTGCAACATTGTCAAAATCAATTGAGTGTCCTTGTTGACAAGCATGTTCTGCCACTGCCGACAGTTGTGTTTGAGATAATTTAATATTTCTCTGATGTTCTTTTAGTCTTACGCTGATGTTACGTCCCGTCTGCCCAATGTAGCAGCTGCCACATGAACAATTAATCCGATATACACCTTCTGTTGATAGTTTAGGTAATGCGTCTTTAGTGCAAGATACTAGTTTTTGAATTTTGTGTACTGTACCAAATCTTACTGTAATGTTTTGCTTTTTCAAAACGCGGGCTAATTTGTCAGTTACTCCTGAGATATATGGAATTTTTATTGTTTTAACAATCTGGTCGCTTTCAGTAGTATTGCTTTGCGATCGTGATTTGGCATTCAGTGCTCTGTTAATTTGAGCATTATTGTAGCCATTCTGTCGTAGTGCGTCTTTAACGTGTTTAATCTCTCTCACTAGACTCTCACCATCTGACACTGTTTTCGCCCGATGTACGAGCGTCTTGATAAGAGAGGATTTTTGAGCTGGATGATGATGTGATTCTGCATTCAGATAGGCATCAGTGTGCGTTTGCTTTCTGTAAACGCTGTGTGTTATTTTACCGTTTAGGCCATGTCCAAGCAAAATATCTAGGAATGGGAGTGTGTTATTCACCTCCATTTCCATGGTGAACTGGATGGCCGGGTTTTGTGCATTGAGATGATTTAGAAAATCATTAAGTGTATCTCTACCATGTGGCCAGACAACCAAAGTGTCATCCACATACCTAAACCAAAAGGATGGTTTTAATGTGCTCGAGGCAAGTGCTCTTATTTCAAAGTTTTCCATGTACAAATTTGCTATAGCAGGGGATAAAGGAGAACCCATTGCTGCTCCTTCCTTTTGTTTAAAGAAATCCCCTCTCCATAAGAAGTAAGTGTTATTTAAACAATGGCCAGCAATAGACTCCTTCCACATAATGAGGCAGAGATGGCTAGACATGAGGTTGCTAAAATAATTGAGAATAGCAAAGTTCCAAAAGTAAATATTAGCTCTAACGAGGCAAAAGCCTTAAGAGAGCTGCGTGTAAATAAGGATATCCAAATCCTAGCAGCTGATAAAGGCCGCACTACTGTAGTGATGTCACGAGCCGATTATGATAATAAAATTAGAAATTTACTAGAGGAAAGTACCTACATTAAAATTAAACGAGATCCAACTAATACTTTAGAACGTAAGACCACTGCAATAATTGCAAATTCATTAATCCCTAAAAATGAGCAATACCTAATTAAGCCAAGGGCCTCAAAACCACCTAGACTCTATGGGCTACCAAAGATTCATAAAATCGGCATCCCATTACGACCCATAGTCAGTACAATTGGCTCTGCCACATATCAATTAGCAAAATATATAACCAAACAAATACAGCCCTACATCGGTAAGACATCTTCATTCATAAAAAATTCAGAACATCTTGTGAATGTGATTAAAGATATTAAACTTACTCCTGATGATATTCTGGTAAGTTTTGATGTGATTTCTCTATTCACTAAGGTTCCAGTGGACGAATCGCTTAAATTACTTGATACACTAGTAAAGAATACCGGTTTACAAAAAGATATTCCGAAACTTGCTGGCCATTGTTTAAATAACACTTACTTCTTATGGAGAGGGGATTTCTTTAAACAAAAGGAAGGAGCAGCAATGGGTTCTCCTTTATCCCCTGCTATAGCAAATTTGTACATGGAAAACTTTGAAATAAGAGCACTTGCCTCGAGCACATTAAAACCATCCTTTTGGTTTAGGTATGTGGATGACACTTTGGTTGTCTGGCCACATGGTAAAGATACACTTAATGATTTTCTAAATCATCTCAATGCACAAAACCCGGCCATCCAGTTCACCATGGAAATGGAGGTGAATAACACACTCCCATTCCTAGATATTTTGCTTGGACATGGCCTAAACGGTAAAATAACACACAGCGTTTACAGAAAGCAAACGCACACTGATGCCTATCTGAATGCAGAATCACATCATCATCCAGCTCAAAAATCCTCTCTTATCAAGACGCTCGTACATCGGGCGAAAACAGTGTCAGATGGTGAGAGTCTAGTGAGAGAGATTAAACACGTTAAAGACGCACTACGACAGAATGGCTACAATAATGCTCAAATTAACAGAGCACTGAATGCCAAATCACGATCGCAAAGCAATACTACTGAAAGCGACCAGATTGTTAAAACAATAAAAATTCCATATATCTCAGGAGTAACTGACAAATTAGCCCGCGTTTTGCAAAAGCAAAACATTACAGTAAGATTTGGTACAGTACACAAAATTCAAAAACTAGTATCTTGCACTAAAGACGCATTACCTAAACTATCAACAGAAGGTGTATATCGGATTAATTGTTCATGTGGCAGCTGCTACATTGGGCAGACGGGACGTAACATCAGCGTAAGACTAAAAGAACATCAGAGAAATATTAAATTATCTCAAACACAACTGTCGGCAGTGGCAGAACATGCTTGTCAACAAGGACACTCAATTGATTTTGACAATGTTGCAGTGGTGTGTAAAACTAATTATTACTGGCAAAGACTAATTAGAGAATCCATTGAAATTGAGAGGAACAAGAATAACTTTAATCGCTCTGACAGCTACCGGCTTAGTGCGGCCTGGAAGCGTATTATTAAATAATACACATTACATTTTGATTTAAAGAATTACTAACCTACAACTCATTACTAATCATAACCAATGACTGATTACTAATCGATTATATAATTACATTACCCCCCCCTCCGCCTCTAATCACTGCACCTGATGAGTTAAGTGATGACGTCACCCGGGAGCAAGCGAGGGCTTTACCATTCTGGCGAATTGCCCGATGATGCTGGAAGTATTTACCAGCGAAATGTCGTACTCAAACTGTAAATGTGGATTAACTCTTCAACACACCGGTGGGCTGAAGTAGTGAATTATTTGTCTTTTGTCAACGTGACACTTTTTTTTTGCTGATTGGCCGTGTCGGGTGGTGGAGGGTTACGACACATTTATAAATAAACGCGATCTAACCCAAAAACCTTTATTATGAATAATATTGGTCGCGAAAGCCTACGTGTTAAACTGATCATTTCTTTGTCAGTGGGCAAATGTACAAAATCAGCACTGTATGTGTTTAAATATACATGCACAACCCATAGTCGTAGGAGTTTGAACATGACCACCCTGGTCTCTGGATTGATGAAGGCATGTCGCATAGACTTGTGAGCATAGAATAATCCAACAAAGCATTTTTCTGCATTACTCTCTTTTACCACAATATACCACAGCTTCTCAGCTGCATGTCAACTAATATGTGCATGGTGGTCACTCATCTAAGCACTATCCAGTCTTAATTCTGCTTTGCTTTTGAGGCCTGATGAGATTGGGCTAATTTTTGGGTGATTTGGTAATAGGCTTGTGTGCATATATGTAGTGTATTTTTGTATGTAGCCTTTATGAACCTACACAAGTGTTGAATTCTCTTGCAGGTGTGTTTGAATGCGTGCTGAAGAGCGAACATATGCTGGTGGTGCAGCGAATGTACGCGCACCGCTCCCGTAGAAACCTGCTGGTGCACAGCGTGCATATGCAGCGCACTGGCCCGGACCTATCTCCCCTCCACCTCAACCTTTCCAGCAGCTTCACACCTTTCAGCGAAGATATTGACTTTAAAGAAGGGTCTGCATTTCTTGAAGCAAGGTGGGATGCAGCGTATGATTTAATTGCTGCTTTGCAAAGGTTATACATTTTAACCTCGAGGGAGTTTTAAAGGAGTATTTTTTTTTTATAGATGTACATTTCAAAATGAATGCACACAGGAACAATTGTTTTAAAAATCAACCAAAATGAAGAGCTCATCTCGTCATCGATGCCACCACACCTTGCCGTCGCTTGCTTCCACAATTTACACCCGACCTCCATAAACCACAGTTACTCTATCCATCCATCTAGCTTTGCGTGTTCCCCTTAGTTGCTGATCTCGAGGTGCAACTGCAATGCTTGTGTAGGGACGTAAGTAGCGTCCCTACAAGGTGTATGCAGTAAGCACCCACGATTTATGATTGAGGGCACATACCTCTGCAGGGAGTCGACGGAGACATTGCGGGAAGCGGGCCCTGCTTGGCGGGGCCCCGTTGCTGGAGAAGAGAGGGGATGTGCCGGCTCAGGGGAGTTAAGGGGACCCGGATGTGAGGGCCCGGGGACATGTGACGCTGGCACCTGTTCTTCTCAAGAGACCGAGCAGGAGGCGTGGCCGGGGGCGGCATGGGGCCAGGTTCGGGGGGGAGGAGAGAGGAACGGGGGCGGAGAGGAGGGCTCAGTCCAGCGTGGGAAGCGATCGGTGCGGCGGCGCGGGGAGCCCGGGAGATCGACTATAGGGGCTGAGGGATAAGGCGACCCCTTCCAATGGGTCTAGTATAGATTCCCGTTCCCAACTGTTGCCTTCTAGTGTTGTGTTAAGTGTTGCGTTATCCCTAGGCTAGATGTTATAATAAAGTGTGGTGCCTCCAGATTTCTGCATGTGCCTCGTCTGACACACTACACTTGTCTCAGTAACTTGCTCTCCTCCATCCACAAGTATTCTTCATTTGCTACATATCAATAACCTTACTGTCACCCATTTTCAGGTGGGGAGACAGACATTCGTTATCTTGCTCTTTACTTTCCCAATGTTTGGCACCACCTTGTTAATACAGAAGTAGTCTTTAACTGTACACCCATAATGTATCGGTATGTACGTTGAACTTCTTTCACACCGTACATAGCCAACCATGCTTATCCGAGGTGCAATTAATGTGTCCGCATGTGGCATGGTTGTGTTTATTATGTTATCAAAATTATCTAACAGCGTGTTGACCCATTTAATGTGAGGTTATTAAACATTTAGTATTTTGGTATTTTAAAACATGCTTTTCTTGTGTTTTTTAAAATGATTTATTATGATAATATAATTGTGACATCGGTAATACATGAGAACATATATTCACATCCATTTGAAAGCTGACCAGATGGCCTAGGGGCTCAGAGTGCTGAATTGGCATCGCTGAGACTTGAGTTCGAATCTGTATCTCGGCATTCCGTGAATCTGGGTTCTGAAGTGTCGTGAGTGGAGTTTGAGCTGAGTAACCAATGACTGCGCAGAGAAACATCACATTAAATTTGGTTTTTAACTTAATTGGGTTAAATCGCAACTTTGAGTGTTTCAAATATTGTTTAAAGCTTCATGTGGTGAACATGTGGGGAAGTGTGCTACCTAGTGTGTGGATAAGAAGACTTCACATGAAGTGTTATCAGAAGTGTTATACCTTTTAATGTGAGCTGTTATGTAACACATGGTATTCTGCCACCAATAGCCCAATTATCAATACGTTGGCAAAAATACAAACATACAACATCCATTTGAATGTTGAAGTCATTCTCAAATGTAACAGGGAGAAAAGTTTAGGAGCATCCTTTTTTAAACTATAAATTTATAGATCATGGGGTTTAATTGACAGCATGTTGTGATGCAATGGCTTACGCACTGCGATACGAACTCATTAACCTGGCTAACATCACTGGCGAGTAATATCTGAACCAGTCTTGGGGCCCCCCCATTCACTATCTCGGATTGACCGGTGTGGGGAAGTATGGGCAAATAACCCCCATGCCTGAGAAGGGTAAAGAGTCCTTCATACAACAGTGGATTGACAAAGGGCTGTAAATTATTTCTTATTAGACTGATAGAAAATGCATTGACTTTCTCAGGGACTTTCTCATTGTACATATGATTATCTGCAGGTACATCTATGGTGAGATTCATGCGCCGGAAGGGAAAGAATGTTCAAAGACCACTGTGCATATGGTCTGGACACCAGTCCCCACTTGCTTGGAGCTGCCCGCTGGACAGATCGTGAAAAAGTGGACATTTCTAACAGCCCTGAGCACGGATGAGAGTGAAGCCAAAGCCGAATACCGTGCAGGTCTGCGTGCAGCTGAGACACGCGAGCTGTACCACACCCACAAGGCAGCCTGGTCCCAGCTGTGGGCCGCAAGCTGCATTGACATGACTGGAGACTTTTACCTTACCCAGGTGTTGTATGCGTGCATGTTCTACATGCTCAGCGCATTGCCGTCTGCGAGCACGTTGGATTATCCCTTCTTTGGAGTGAGTCCTGGTGGGCTGTCCAACGGAGAGAGAAACGAGGACTATCTTGGACACATCTTCTGGGACCAGGTAGCTTTGCATGGCTTGTAACCTGTAATAGTGGCCACTTTGGTAGTGTTACGTAAAATTATAATCACATATTTAATGGGACCTCCCTTGCCAATATCAAAATATAAGAATGTTTTACCCTTTCTGTTAATAAACATTGCGAAGGGAGGTCACATGGGTAGGGACATTTATCAAATGATCTATGGAGAAGTGTGAAGGTTCCCTCTAAACCTACTTTCCAATTTGTAATTCGAATTTAACGTGGTTGACGTAAAAAGTGGTTTTGTGTGGTCACATTGTGTTTTCAGGAGACATGGATGTATCCCGTAGCGCTGTTGTTCCACCCCAGGGTTGCGCGCACCATGCTGGAGTACCGTGTGGCACGGCTCGGCGCCGCACGTGAAAATTCTCGCGCCGCTGGACACAGGGTACCGAAACTGCTTGCAGGCGTGCTTTGTTTACTATTTATTCATTATGGATGCATTGTTTGCACTAACTTCACTCCTTTGAATTATAACGTCACTCTATCCACAATAGAGGTTTTTGGGTTAGATCACGTCGTTAAAACTCGCCACCACCCGACACGGCCAACTAGTAAGGGTTGTCACGTAAACCGAACATGCCAATTTGTCACTAGTACAGCGCACCGGTGTGTTGGAGAGCCAAGCCACAACATTTACAATCTGAGTACGACGTTTCACAAGCAATTACAAGTAGCTTCATCAGGCGACAGCTAGATTTGTGGAGAAGTCTTAACTTGCGTTCCTTATATAGAGGCGTAGATGTGGTGACCACGCTTCTGTGCTCTTGCGCAAAGTGGGGTGGGGATGGATTACTGAGTCAATGTACATTATGCATGTGCATTATGCGAGCTCTTTCATCTTGTCCTTCCTGTCTCGCATAATGCACATGCATAATGTACATTAACTCAGTAATTCATCCCCTCCTCCACTTTGCGCAAGAGCGCAGAATTGTGGTCACCACATCTACCCTTTTATGTAAGTGTAGAGGAGTAGTGTGATGACGTCATGTCATGAGCACTGTAAGGAGACAACCTCAAGAAAGGGGGTGGGTTTGAGTGAAGGGGAGGAGCCGCCCAAGGGGGTGCTTAAAGGGGACCCTGTGACGTGAGCGGGGTCGTTGTGGGGAGCCAGAGGTGGATCGGCGGCGAGAAGTCTCTCCCGCTCGTGACCGGACGGTGTTGGTTTAACCCCCATCTGGGGTCGACGAGTGGGTGAGCCGGGGAGATAGCCGAGAGTAGCTCTACAAGACGTCTGGGAGAACCCGGTCGTAGTGAGAGAGCCCGAGGGATAGCCGAAGTTAGGGCGAGTAGAGCCTGGGCGTCCACGGGAAGGACCGAGTGTAGAGAACACCTACCTCTGGGGTAAGCCGAGTGTTACCCTTGTTAATAAACGGCGAAAGTCCTTATATGAAGGTCCGTCTCCGTGTGGTTCTACGCCTCAACATAAGGAACGAAACAGTTAAGACTTTTCCACAAATCTGGCTGTCGCCTGATGAAGCTAGTTGTAATTACTGGCGAAACGTCGTACTCATTGTAAATATTGTGGCTTGGCTCTCCAACACACCGGTGCGCTGTACTCGTGACGAATTGGCTTGTTTGGTTTACGTGACAACCCTTTCTGGTTGGCTGTGTCGGGTGGGGGCGGGTTTTAATGATACATTTATATATTACGCGATCTAACCCCCAAAAACCTCTATTCCGGATGATATGGTCGCGAAAAGCCTACGTGTTAAACATAACTCTAACTGGTCTGTTAACGTGAGCCATCTTTTTGCAAATGGAAACGTTGCTCATTTTTTGTCAACAGGGAGCAAAGTACCCCTGGGAGAGCGCTGTGGCTGGACATGAAGTTTGCCCGGAAGACATTTACGGGCAGCAGGAAATCCACATCAATGGAGATGTGTCCTTTGCTTTCCAGCAGTACTTCCTTGTGACTCAGGTACCATACACAGAACCCAATGGGAGCACAGTGATGGTCCAAACCAGTAACTTTTGTATAGCATGTACAGTTATGTATATTTTCAGAAACATAACGTAATGAATGTCCTTTTAAATTTTGATTCAAAGCTTTCGTGACTGCAGTAATTCATATTCTTAGCTCTTTCGGTAAAGTCACGTTGAAGGGAAACAATAAAATAATAAAATATATATAAAACAATAAAAAATATTTTATTGTTTCCCTTCAACGTGACTTTACCGAAAGAGCTAAGAATATAAATGTCCTTTTAGGCAATGTTTTCCAGTTATCTTCCGTGAAAGACAGACATTTGCCTCTCAATCACCTCCATTTTACAAGTCTATGGTAGGGATCACTGTCTTTAAATATGTAGTGTTTTTATTTCATGCAGACAACTTCTTTCTCCGGTGTCACTTTTATTAAACAGAACTTCTCGCGTTCAACACCACACAACTCCGTCGAACTCTCCCGCCGGCGCTGCTCGCCTCCTTCGCTCTGCTTGCTCCGCTCTCTTAACCTCTCCACTGCTAGCCTGTTCTCTCTCTCCCTCTCACTCTCCTAGCCTCTCCACTGCTCGCCTGTTCTCTCTCTCTCTCTCACTCTCCTAGCCTCTCCACTGCTCGCCTGTTCTCTCTCTCTCTTACTCTCCTAGCCTCTCCACTGCTAGTCTCTCCTTGTTCTTCTGCTGGCTCTCTTCTGCTAACCTATCACCTCACACTCTCCTCGCTGCTTCACGACTAGCCTTCCACTATATATTCTGCTAGCTTCTCTACTGCTGGTCTTCCTGCTATACACTCTGCTAGCTTCTCTACTGCTAGCCTTCCGCTATTCACTCTGCTAGCTTCACTACTGCTAGCCTTCCGCTATTCACTCTGCTAGCTTATCTACTGCTAGTCTTCCGCTATTCACTCTGCGAGCTTTTCTACTGCTAGCCTTCCGCTATTCACTCTGCTAGCTTCTCTACTGCTAGCCTTCCGCTATTCACTCTGCGAGCTTCTCTACCGCTAGCTACACACGCTCACACTTAGGATTCCGCTAGCTCCTCTACTGCTAGCTTCTCTTCCCTCGCCTCTCCTACCTCGTCCTTGCCACCCGTGAGGGTTCAGCCATCACCACGTGTGAGGGCCAGGTGAGGAGAGCGGGGCTTGGGACTTCCCTTGTCTGTGTTTCTGCCTTCACTCCAACCAACTCAACTCCTCTGCCTCACGCTGCCGTATATATTATCCGTCTCCCTTCCGTTGCTCTATCGTCGCACCTGTCTTTCCCGATGCGACCTCACTGTCCGTAACTTCGCACATGCATGCACACAGCTTGCAAGCCCCCGCGCGCGTTATTTCACTACAAATATAAAGGCAACTGTTGACTGCCTGGCAATACGTTAATTAGCCTCTCCAGATGGTTCTAATTTTACCAACCAAATAATTAATGTGCTATTAGCCATAACTTTCCATTCTTCTCACTGATGAAGCTTCACACTCAGGTCAGGCAGCCTTGGATACACATTCTCTAGCTATTGCAATATGAGACAGTTTGTTGGGTTTTTTTGTGTTTTAAATGTCAACATTTTCAGATTACGTGAGCCCTTTAAGGTTTTCTCTTTTGTAAGAAAGACCTGGGTGACATAAGAAAAATATTCTGAATATTTTGCAGCATTGCAGATGCACATCTGTACTGATTGTCATTGTACTGTCACAGGATTTAAACTTCTTTTCACAACTGGGAGGATGGGATGTGGTGAAGTCTATCGCGGAATACTGGAAAAGCCGTGTGGAGTGGAATAAGTCTGAGAAATGCTATGACATTAACAGTAAGTCTTCTGTACACATAAGTATGGACAAGCTGCATGGGGAATTTGAGGTTGTTATTGAATAACAAAGACGTGCATTGTTAGATAATGGTACTGTACATGTGTACTTGGGAAGGCTAAGCAATAGCGTTACCGCAAATGGTAGCAATTGTCCAGTCTATTCGAGGTACAGGCAGTCCCACTCAATCAAAGCTTAGATTGTTGATTTCCTTGCACCTTCGCAAAAGTAAAAAAAAACTAAATGCAACAATCTTTAGTATTACTCTTTGGTTCTTTCGGTAAAGTCACGTAAGGTTTGACAAAATAATAGATCACGACGTTTCGATCACAACGCAAGCGACCGTTCTCACCTCACCTGAGGACGGTCGCTTGCGTTGCAATCGAAACGTCGTAATCTATTATTTGATCTACCTACGTGACTTTACCGAAAGAACCAAAGAGTGGATTCCTGCAGTCACGAAAGCTTCAAATCAAGGTTGAATCGTTCGTATTTTTGTGTTGTCTTTCATTTAAATAGATGTTTGTGTTTGGTGGCAAGCAGTCGTAATTTTATAGATGTCATTGTAACTTTAAAAAAGTCTCCACATATTTTAGCATAAACGTTTCTCTATCAATGGCAACTGACTCTGCCCACTTTGGGCCATTCTGCAAGTGTGCTGTAAAAGTGGAATGGGAGTGTTTGTGTGGAATTTGCCACATGGGTTACAAAATGTGGAATGGATCGAATTTTATCCCAAATATTAATAAAAAAACAGACGCAATTTTTTTCCTGATCCGGTAATTAGTGCAGTGTTATTAAAAGGGGGGCTTTGAGGATGTGTAAAATACAGACTGGTTGGAGTCAACAAGGCTTAGTAGGAATCACACATCATCCATTTCAGAATATATTTCCTCATCAGATTTATTAACTCTTTTACATAACCTGTGACCATATTTTTTAAAATCAATATTTTGATTACAACCATGTCGTTTTCTACAAATCACCTTTTTCACATTTTATTATCACTCCTGTTCTTTGTTACCAGCCTGCATGCATTTTTCTGTCGGATGTGTTTCTCATAATCTACAGAAAGTGTTTAAAAGTGATTTCGAGATATGTTTGTTTAAAGTGCTACATCATATCAGGGGCAGAGAAAATGCTGGAGGAAGTTTGGGTTGTTCAGGGGTTTTAGTTGTTTCAATGCAGTGCAAAGGGTGGGAATGTGGTGTTCAAAATCGGAACCATTTGAATCTGTAAGCCATGGTTCAAAGGACAGTATGAAATAGCAGTAGCTTCCAGTTCTACATAATATGATGATTTGCTTGCGATCGAAGAGGTTGATCCCACTGAGCCACTTGGGCACAACTGCTCTGTCACATTGAATGTGTTCTCTTTATAGATGTGATGCCTCCAGATGAGTACCATAATGGCGTCAAAAACTCTGTCTATACAAATGTCGTGGCTAAATACAGGTAAGGCGCTACTAACTCACGTAGGTAAAGGTGCAGCCTTGCAATTGCTTGCTCATGTCCCCGCTGGCAGAAGGGCCTCCACGAAAGAGAGCTCAAGATACCTTTAATCGAGAGTATTTTGGTCTACTCTTCCACACTGGCCAGACATCTTGAAAGAGGTGGAAATGTATACCCATGTTTTCCTCCCACCACTTTTGACCTTCCACTCAACTAACTTTACACCAACTCACAGAAATATTCTGCAGACCTTTGTATTGTTGTTCATCTATTTAATTTTAGCCTCTGAAATGTACAACTTCCATGAGTGATTAATGACAATGTGTAATGTATTGCTTTGATTAATCAATTACTTATTTCTAAAGCTCGCAGACAATTCATATGTATTAAAGCTTTCGTGACTGCATAAAATTACTCATTGTTTTTTTCGGTAAAGTCACGTATGTAGAAATACAATAAAATTATATTAAAACCAAAAACAATCACGACGTTTCGATCACAACGCAAGCGATCTTCATCAGGTGTAAAGAACAAATCACGGAGGTAAATACAACAAAAAGATGAGAGACGAGAATTCAACAAACCTGAAAAAACATTATGTGAAGCACATCCAGTCAGGCCAACAACACAGTTAGACACTTCCTGGCGGACCACGAATTTCAGAAGAGTGTTAAATTTCGTGTTCAACATTGGATTGCACATACCAGCATAGATAGAATGAAAAATACGAGGTACACGGTCAGTAGAAATACATATACAAGTCCACCAAGAGGTAAGGAGGGAGGAAAGACGGACAGGGAGGCAGAAAGGGGGGGCGGAGGGATGAACAGAAGCTTAAATAGGAAATACATAATGTTTTTTTCAGGTTTGTTGAATTCTCGTATCTCATCTTTTTGTTGTATTTACCTCCGTGATATGTTCTTGACACCTGATGAAGATCGCTTGCGTTGTGATCGAAACGTCGTGATTGTTTTTTGTTTTAATATAATTTTATTGTATTTCTACATATGTGACTTTACCGAAAAAAACAACGAGTAATTCATATGTGTTGTGGTGTAGGACTATCACACAGTAAGGTTCCAAGAACACTATCGCAGATACAAGAAATATGAGATTAAAATTTTAATGAGATTTGAAGGAACTGCCTTGGCAGTGGTATAGGCAGAGGATCCTATTAATTCATAATAACTATTCTGGCAAATTGCCCGATGATGCTGGATGTAATTACCAGCGAAACGTACTAAAAAATTGTAAATGTTGTGATTCACTCTTCAACACACCGGTGGGCTAATGTAGTGAACTATTTATACTCTTTGGTTCTTTCGGTAAAGTCACGTAGGTAGAAAAAATGATAGATCACGAGTTTTCGATCGCAACACAGGCAATCATCTTCAGGTGAAAAAGAAGGGGAAATCTGATGAGGCAGGGAGCTTTTATAAAGGTTTAGAGATGGGTGGGGCAGCTAATGTTAATATAGGAGCGAGTAGGAGAGAGACATTTGCTTGTACATGTAAGCTCGGCGAGGGCTGAGCTCGGCCAGGGCCCGGAAATTTGCTTGTAAATATAAATGTAAGCTCAGCGAGGGCTATTTGTCTTTTGTCAACGTGACATATTTTTACTGATTGGCCATGTCGGGTGGTGGAGGGTTGCGACACATTTATAAATAACGCGATCTACCCAAAAGCCTTTATTATGAATAATATTGGTCGCAAAAGCCTACGTGTTAAACTGGTCCTATTAATTACTACAATGTAACACAAAGTGCCACGTAATACTAAATAGCACCAGAAAATACCACATAGTACAACATTCCTTGAATATCATACACAACAATGCATTTTAAATAAATAACAGACACAACATAATTCGAGGTAATTATTTCAGTACTTTGTGGTACTTTGCGATACTTTGTGGTAATTATTGAGGTGCTTCGTGGCACTTTTTGGTAATTAGTGGGACCCCATTAACATTAAGTGTACAAACCTTGAAGTACAAAACTGCACTCAATACAGATTCTAATTTGAGCATGCACCTCCTAAACTCTTGACATCTTGCTGGCTTTGAGCACGTGGAAGCCTGGAGTTGTCTCTTGCCACATCTCAACTTTGCAGGATCTCACACCTCTGCTTGGTGCAACAGCTCCCGAATCCACATCTTTTGTTGAGACATATAACCATGCATTCGTGTGTCTATACTCCCCTGAAACTTGCTTTTCTCAAGACTAATTCTACAGCATGCGACTTATAGATTCGCATCACCACCATACTCAGATCCCTATGGCTCCTAATTCAACTATGTATCAACTGCAATAATGTTGTGGTCAATTCCGTGGTCTGTGTAAGACACACCTACGTGTTAAGCCTACGTGTTAAACTGACACCTAATCAGACTTGCCATCCCATGAAGTCTAATATTAAATAAAAACTCTCTCTTTACTTTTCATTTATTTTATTTGCTTATGTTATTTACTACTTAGATTTCTTGTGCTATTCGCTGCGCACGGTTGCAATTGACTCTGCTCAGTCAGTGTTAGCCGCTAAAAGGCGTGACGGGTTTCTGTTCTCAATCCTGTTGCTCCGTGCCTCCTGTACTGCTCCCATTCTGTTGCAATGTGTACTGATGCCGAATTTATTGAGGGTGATATTAGCACTTAAAAAATTTTTTGATTTGCTTTACTGTCTTCAAGATCCGTGTCGATTGTAATTTTAATATCCATTTTGCCACAGCCTTGACTTTGCCTCGGATCTGGGAGAACTACTGAAAGTTCCCGTCCCTCCGAAATGGAAAGACATTTCAAGCAAACTAAAAATTCCCATCGACCACGAGAAAAACTACCACCCAGAGTATGATGGATACAATCTCGGTAAAACATCCAAACTGTTTTCAGTATTAGAGGCATTCGTAAATCTTTGTTGAAAACTAGGGGAGATGCTATTGCGATGCAGATTATATTGTCCGAGTTTATCAATGAATTTGACACCTTATCCAAGTGGAAAAACCCAGATAAAGTGCTTAAATTGTTTTTCTTGATACGTTTCAATTGTGCAACACTTTCTGGCTGTTAGGGCCCTATGAAGTTTAATTTGTTCACTACCGCTTTACACAGCCTGGTCTATAATCTGAGGTTGCCCATTCTCACCTGTGATCACACTTTTTTGGGGTCCTTTCGATATGTTTGGCAACTTATGCTTATTTGTGAAAGAACATTACTTTTTATGTTTTGTTTTCTACCACTGCGCAAAAGAGAGCGGCTCGCAATCAGAAGGTTGAGCGTTTAAATCCTGGCTGGGGGTTGACTCAGCCCTTCATCTGCCTGGGGGTCAATAAATGAGTATCAACTTGTGGAAAATCAACCGTGGTTGTCCTAAGGATAGTTTCACTCCTGCCATAAGATTCTGCAGTTTCCACCACTTGCTCAGGGTTGCAAACAGGAGATGAGCACCAATGCCTAAATGTTCATTTCAGCAATAATTGTTTTTCTTTGTCCAATTATACATCTATTAATCAGATTGCTTTCCTCAATTTGCCACATATCGTTGCACAGAAAACTTATGAAAAAATATAGCAATAATAATATACGAAAAAAGTAAGTTCATGGTGAACAAAATAATAAAAAAGATTATAATCTTACCATAGAGACATCAACTTTGAAAACAGGAACAATAACACGTCTGAAAGCACTTTACGTTGAGACATAAATAAATAGCAATCAATGGTTGTGTGTGAAACAGCTTAAAATAAAGTTGATACATTTGTCTACAGATGTGTAAGCTAGGTTTTAAAAATGTTTTAAATCTTGAAAACCCAGTGTTTTCTCAAGCCAGAAGATGCTTCTTTAAACCTAGCTCTTGCGACTCCTACATTAGTCCATTTAAACATGGAGGTGTGTTTGGTGCTGGCCACCCACCCGCTCGTGTGCTGTGCCGACCTTCATAGGTGCTCGCTAACAGCACTTGCCCCAACAGTCTGTTCAGGCTATACGGGGATCTTTGTCTTTGTGGGGAGCGGTAATGTAGCGGTTAGCGCACTGCACTACGAACCCAGTGACCCGAGTTCAATTCCCGCTCACGGCCAACACCAGTGACGATTATCTGAACCGGTCTTGGGCCTCCTCTCCATGGTCGACTCAGCTTCAAATGAGTACCTGGTACAATGTGTAAACATCGCCACTCGGAAGACAGAGGCAGTCGGGCGTGGTGCTGGCCACCCACCCCCTTGTGTACCATGCCGGCCTTCATAGTTGCTCGCTACCAGCACTTGCCCCAACAGTCTGTTAAGGATATACAAGGGATATTTGTCTTTGTTTCGTGTAACATGGCAGGGCTTTAACAACTTCAGTATCGTTTTCACACAGAGGCACGTTCACGGTTGTTTCCTGGTGTTTTGACTCTCAGGCGAGTCTGTGAAGCAAGCCGATGTGATCCTCCTTGGCTTCCCTTTGGGGTTTCCCATGAGCGCACAGATGAGAAAGAACGACCTGGAATTGTACGAGGAAGTGACAGACCATGATGGGCCTGCCATGACCTGGGTACGATTAAACCTGCAGAAATTAACTTTCCATGAGTGGTTTGTTATTAAATATGTACATATGTTTCTTCGTCGGAATCGCATCTTGTACAAGTGGCCAAAACAGTTGCCTTGGCAATTAACCACAATACTATACATATATCATGTAATGTGGGAAAACTAACGATTTCAGTTTCCATCCATTTACCGGCATAGATTAATGCTTTCTTGCATGGTTATTTGCCTAAAATGTACCTGGAACATTGTACAATGTTTTTAAAACCCAGACACGTGAAGCCTAATAAGATTATGTTTAAGTACAAGTCCTTTCAATATTCGATGAGAAACAAGAGCATTGACATTTTGACTTAAAATTTTAGTGACTGCAGGAATTCATATTCTTTGGTTCTTTCGGTAAAGTCACATACATAAATAATAAAAATAAACATCCTGGTTCTTAATCTGAGTGAGTGTACTGGCGTTCTATAATGTAGACTGCAGCCTCGTTATTAAGTTTGGTTAGTGTACTGGCAGTCTATAATGTAGACTGTAGCAATGGTTATTCAGCTGGGTAAGTGTACTGGCAGTCTATAATGTAGACTGTGGCCTGGTTCTTAACTTCGAGCATACTGGCAGTCTATAATGTAGACTGTAGCCAAGTTCTTAACCTCAGTGAGTGTACTGGAAGTCTATAATGCAGACTGTAGCAATGGTTCTTAACCTGAGTGAGCGTACTGGCAGTCTATAATGTAGACGTATTCTTTGGTTCTTTCAGTAATAACGTTTACTACTACCATCACTTATATTAACATTAGCTGCCCCTGCCCATGCTGCTACACCTGAGCTACGCCCATGTTAAACCTTTACCTGGCAGCCCTTTAATTGGTGGAAACCCACCACCAGCACCATCGTAGCCCGCGACTACCATCAGTTATATTAACAGCTGCCCCGCTCATGCTGCTGACACTTGGGCTACACCAATTTTAAACCTTTATAAACAGTTTGCCTTCAGAGGCTAAACCCCCCTTTTCCTGATGACCACTTGTGTTGTGATCAAAACGTCGTGGTTTTTATCTTTTTGTTATTACCGAAAAAAACAAAGAATAAGTCTACATTATAGACTGCCAGTATGCTCACTCAGGTTAAGAACCAGGCCCACAGTCTACATTATAGACTGCCAGTATGCTCATCGAGGTTAAGAACCAGGCTGCAGTCTATATTATAGACTGCCAATACGCTCACCAAGCTTAAAACCAGGCTACAGTCTACATTATAGACTGCCAGTAAACTCACCGAGGTTAAAAACCAGGCTACAGTCTACATTATAGACTACCAGTACACTCACCCAGCTTAATAACCATTGCTACAGTCTACATTATAGACTGCCAGTACACAATCAAATTAAGAACCAGGATTTTTATTTTATTATTTTATTCACTTTATTTTTCTATCTACGTGACTTTACCGAAAAACCAAATAATATGAAAAGCTTTGACAGTTGAATCTAATTAAAGCTCAAATCATTATCTGCAAAGAGTTTGAAAATATAATAGTAATACATGAGCCGTTAGTAAATGTCTCAATCAAAAGCAAATCGCAGATGTGTAAATGTGTTTTAACACACATCACGTCTTAACAGCTTTGCAGTCATTAGATACTGTAAAAAAAAATATGTATAAAACACTCCAGGTGTCTCCTTATGACTGTAAGTGCTGTGAGTAGAGATTTAATTTCTGTCGATGATGTATGTGAATGCTTTTATGTTGCAATGTGTTGTTGTTGCACACAGAGTATGTTTGCAGTGGGGTGGCTTGAAATGAATGATTCCAAAAAGGCCAAGGAGATGATTACGAGGTGCTATCAGAACATTCATGAGCCCTTCAAGGTAACCTGAGCAAAATTCTGGGCTGCTTCCCATGGGAGCCACAGATAACCACAGTCAATTGGCTTTGCACGTAAACTCCCTTTTCGTCAGCAGCATCCGGGCATTCCAGTACTTTCCAAGTGCAACTTTTAATGCAAGTGGTAAAACACATGCATGTTAATATGCTATAATACATTATTTTTGGTGAAATTACATTGGAAGTGGTGAACACTTGCAAATAACCAAACACACGTTTCACACATTCATCAATCATGCTGCCTTAATTGTAAAAATTATATAATGCTAGCGGGAAGTACCCGGCGTTGCCCGGGCGAAAAATATATTTGACAACTTATCTTAAAAACCTTACATATACATACACATAAACTAAGCTATTGTGAAAGCCCGGTGGGCCGTATGTCCATTTCTCCACTAACAAAATTATAAGAGGCTTGCAGAAGTCCAAAAAGTTATAGAAAGTGGGGGGTAAATGGTTGATCTAAAAGGTTACCTAAAATTGTCAACCCCCTCCCCTCAAAATATATATTTACCCCCAAATAGGTATATATACCTACACACCCTATATACAACAGAGCAAGTAGTATCTATTGACTCTGTAGTTGTATCTACTGACTATATAGCAGTACCTACCAACTCGGTAGCAGTATCTACTATCACAGGGGTCGGGAACCTTTTTGACTAAGAGAGCCATGAAAGCAAAAAATTTGGAAATTTATTTCAGTGAGAGCCATATAATATATTTTAAAAGTGAATTCAACTTAATGTCAGTATAATAAGCCTCTGAATTTATTCTTTTAAATAATGTTGTTATAACACTCACCATTAATGCGACTTCTGGTGCTGCATGGATTTGCTGATGTCTTTGTAGTCGGGTTGGTACTTTGTAGTCGGGTTGGTACTTGGTGAGGTTAAGCTTCATGCAAGCGTTGAGGCTTTCATCCGTTAAACGTGATCGTAGGTTGGACTTGATGTTTTTAAGATGTGAGAATGACTGCTCACATGCATACGTAGATCCAAACATGGTCAATACAGCAATACTCACACGCTGCAGTGTGTGGTATGTGACAGGAAGCGCATTCCAAGTTTTGAGAATCAGCTGGTCTTCGGGTTGGAGTTTTTTCATTTCTGTCCACATGTGCTTGCTCGCCAACTCCGCTTTCTGTCGTGTGATTCTTTCCAAATCTTCATTCAGTGACTTGAACTTATTCACCCACATGTCTGAGGCCTTCAGGTCAGCCACTTCTGCTTCAAAATCTCTGACGGAGACACCAGGGATGTAATTCAGGTCGGCTGTGTTCAGTGAACACTCGTTTGGATGGGTGATGAACTTAAAAAGACGAGTGTGCTCACGAAATTCTCCAAAGCGTGCTTTGAAGGACTGTAGGAGACTAGATGTGCAGCCAGCTAGCTGGTGGAGATCAAGGTTTTGAATGGGCTCACTTGCTGTGCATGCATCTTTAAATTGGCTCAGTTTTTCAAAATGTAGTAAACGACCTGTTTCAAGATCCGTGATGAAAAGCTCCAGCTTGTTTTCAAAAGCAAATACAGCCTGTTGAAGGGATAACACTGTATTTCCAATGCCTTGCATTTTCACGTTGAGCTGGTTCAGATGTTCAGTCAGATCTACGAGATAGTAAAACTTGAGGAGCCACTCGGTGTCGGCTAGCTCAGGATGCCCGACGCCTTTCATTTCAAGGAAAGTCCGGATTTCGTTCAGGCAAGCCGCAAAACGGCTAAGCACCTTCCCTCTTGACAACCAACGCACATTGCTGTGCAAAAGCAGACCAGGATAGTTATTTACAACTTCATCCAGCAGTGTTTTAAACTGGCGATCATTTAAGGCTCGGGCAACAATAAAGTTGATCACACGAATGACCAGCGACATCACTTCGCCAAACTGCCTGTCACACATCTGAGCACAAAGTGCCTCCTGGTGTATAATGCAATGGAAACTTAGGATGGGTCTATTTTCATGTTCACGGAGAAGCGCCACAAATCCTTTGTTTTTCCCCACCATACACGGAGCACCATCAGTACACACTGAGAGAAGTTTATCCATAGGTAGACTTTTTTCTTGAGCAAACTCCATGAAAGACTTGAATAAATCCTCACCTCTTGTGGACCCTTTTAATGGCAGAACAGCAAGACTTTCTTCGCGCAGTGTGTCACCAACAGCATATCTTGCAATCACGCTGAACTGCGACAAATGGCTCACGTCTGTTGACTCATCCAAAGCCAGAGAAAAGAACGGCGCTGCATTTATGTCCTTCACTTGCGTTTCCTCCACTTTGTTTGCCATCACGATGGTACGATCATGAACAGTTCTTGCCGACAGAGGCATGTCTTGTATCCGTTTGATTATCTTGTCTTTGTTCGGAAGATCATCAAAAAGTTCATTGGCTACATCCAGCATGAACGTTTTAGCATACTCGCCATCTGTGAATGGTTTTCCGTTCCTCACTATTGCTAAAGAACCAGCAAAGCTAGCCGAATTATAGTCACCTTGCCGGGTCCATACGCGGAGTTGCTGCTGGCTAGCTTGCACCCTGCTCAGAAGCTCTTGGCACGCTTTCTTTCTGCTGTCTCCCGCAGGGTATTTTGATGCAAAGGTAGCGTGGCGCGTGTCGAAGTGCCGCTTTACATTCGACCGTTTCAACGATGTAATTTTGTCATTGCAAATTAGACACACCGCAGAACCCGCTCTCTCCACAAAGGCGAATTCTTCGGTCCATTCGTCCTGAAATGTACGATACTCGTCGTCTTTTTTTCTTTTCGCCATCTTCTTCGTCGAAGGGTTAGCTTTGAGCTAATGACCGAGCAGACGCAGTCTCAGACTGATTCAAAAGGGGGCGTTTACCTGTTTTACCCAGCAACGGCAAACGTAGGCCAGTATCATCCAATTAAAATAATGGACAATTGCTCCTGCAGCCCTGAACAGGACATGCGCAGTGAAAAATCGATGGATGGATTAAAACAAGTGAGAATATTTTGTTTTATCTGTGAGCCATATGCAATCATCAAAAGAGCCACATCTGGCTCGCGAGCCATAGGTTCCCGACCCCTGTACTATCACTACAGCAGTGCATAGCGACTGTGGTGGAACCTGCTATCATTGCAGCAGTGCATACTGACTGTGGTGGAACTTGCTAGCACTGCAGCAATGCATACTGATTGTGGTCGTACCTGCTATGACTACAGCAGTGCATACCCACTGTGGTGGTACCTGCTTTCATGACAGCAGTGCATACTGGCTGTGGTGGTCCTTGCTTTAACTACAGCAGTGCATGCACACTGTGGTGGTAGCTGCTTTCACTACAGCAGTGCATACTGACTGTGGTGTGACCTGCTATGATTACAGCAGTGCATACTGACTGTGGTGGCACCAGCTATGATTACAGCAGTGCATACTGACTGTGGTGGTACCTGCTATGATTACAGCAGTGCATACCGACTGTGGTGGTAGCTGCTATTACGACAGCAGTGCATACCGACTGTGGTGGTACCTGCTATAACTACACCAGTGCATACCGACTGTGGTGGCACCTGCTATCACTACAGCAGTGCATACCGACTGTGGTGGTGCCTGCTATCACTGCAGCAATACATACTGACTGGTGGGCCCTGCTTTAATTACAGCAATGTATACTGACTGGTGGAACCTGCTATCACTGCAGCAGTACATAATGACTGTGGTGGGCCCTGCTTTAACTACAGCAATGTATACTGACTGTGGTGGAACCTGCTATCACTGCAGCAGTGCATACTGACTGTGGTGGTACCTGCTATCATTACAGCAGTGCATACCGACTGTGGTGGAACCTGCTATCACTGCAGCAGTGCATACTGACTGTGGTAGAACCTGATATCACTGCAGCAGTACATACTGACTGGTGATACCTGCTATCACTACAGCAGTGCATTCCGACTGTGTTGGTACCTGTTTTGACTACAGCAGTGCATACTGACTGGTGGTACTTGCTACGACTACAGCAATGCATACCGGCTGTGGTGGTACCTGCTATCACTGCAGCTATGCTTCCCGACTGTGGTGGTACCTGCTATCACTACAGCAATGCATACCGACTGTGGTGGCACCTGCTATCACTACAGCAGTGCATACCCACTGTGGTGATGCCTGCTATCACTGCAGCAGTGCATACTGACTGTGGTGGAGCCTGCTATCACTGCAGCAGTGCATACTGACTGTGGTGATACCTGCTATGACTACAGCAGTGCATACCCACTGTGGTGGTGCCTGCTTTGACTGTGGTGTTATCCTGCTATTGCTACAGCAGTGCATACTGACTGGTGGTACCTCGCTTCACTGCAGCAGTGCATACTGCTGTGGTGGAACCTGCTATGATAACAGCAGTGCATATTGACTGTGGTGGTACCTTCTTTGATTACAGCAATGCATACTGACTGTGGTGTTACCTGCTATGATTACAGCAATGCATACTGACTGTGGTGGTACCTGCTATGGTGACCAGCTAACTACACTATACGTAGGAGTTACAGCTACGAAGGGTTGGACCCTCACTTGGGTCCCCGGCCACGTGTTGATGCCTCGTAGGACGTAGAGCTTCCAGCTTGTAGACGGAGACCTTCCAGCTTGTAGAGCGAAGAAAGCCCGGTCCCTCTCAGGGACCCACCTTATATCCTCCCAGGTCGGGGCCGGCTCTGCCCTCGGCCCCGCCCACCTTCTCGAGCGTTCTAGCTCCCTCTCGATCCCTCTCGAGAGCTCTCCCCGGACACGTGATCACCCCCTAGCCCCCCCCACTTGGGGCCTTCTCTGTGGACACTCCAGATCACGTGTTTACGGGGTCAACCAGAGTGCCATGGCCCGGGGCAACCCTGTCCCTAGGCTGACATTCTCCCGCTCCCCCCTGTGGGAGCCCACACCACACGCTATGCGTGGTGCCCGCGCTATCCCAGCGCTCACCAAGCCCCGCTAGGGCTGGTACTACACCCACCTACGGGGTGTACGCGATGACGTTGCA